ACCCAGTGAAGGGTATGCCTGTCCAAGCCCTCCCATCAGTTCTCCAAGGCCCAGGTCAGTGAGGTAAGTGAGTGGGATATCAGTCATTGAAGTAAGACAGGGAGCCATCTATATTAAAAAAACTTTTATAAAAAAGTCACTACACTGTGTGTATATCTGAACTGTTACCATCTGCCACAGTAACTTCTAAACAAAGGAAGAGTCATGGAGTCTAGTTCCAGTGTTAAATTCAGTGATGTCTCGTGGAAGTCTTGTACCTTGGTATTTCAATGCTCACTACTTGTTTGTAATGTTTTCCTAGCGTTCACAGGCTGAAGGAGCTTTAACCCAGGCTTGCTAGGCTGAGGTCAGTGGAGGTGGTTTCTTCAAACTGTTACTGAAGCAGCATAGATTTCACCTTCAATAAGAAAAGTATATGTTGCCCTTGCAGGTTAGGAGCCAGTAGCAAGGCTTAAATTAGGGCTTTCGGTAAGACAAACTGTCCGCCCTTACGGCATTGCTGCCTGTTTCTAGTGTTAAGTGACTTGTGCTTTCCTTGAGGACACACTAATGGAAATAGCAAGGAAGACTTTGCGAGACAGGAAAAGAGAGAGAGGCAGGGGCTGGAGGTGGGAGCTCAGCCACACTGTTCCAACAGAGGGTAACAGTTCACAGAGATCACATTACTGTAGTACTGGGCAGTGACACATTAAGGCACAGAAGGAAGATTTTTCAGGTGAGGAAGACACAGCAACTAGAGCCAGAGGCAAATGGGGTTTAAAACCAGCTGAGAGGTAGGTAAAAAAGAAGCTCAGCCCTGCCCTGAGCCTTCGTTTACCTCTTGCTTGTATCCATAAAAACCTTGTATCAGTGCAGCAAATGGTATATACATAGAAGAGGGAAGCACCAGTTAAGTGAGACAGTACCTGGCCAGAGGGACAAGGCAGCTCAGCCTCAAAAAGGTCTTTCAAGTGGAAAAATTCAAGCATAGTGTTACATCCAGTAACTTGAGAACCAAAGTCAATTCCTTTCTTTTATAGTGCCAGGCCTCACAGTGAAGCAAGGGACATGACGAGTTCTTTTTTAATCACCAAGGAGTAACTGGTGAGGTATGACAGAAATGAGCTATAAAGTTTCATAGATAGAGAAGAATTTGCAGAGGATCAGACAATAGGGAATACTTTAAAAAGGCAGCTATCAAAGGAAATGGCCCAGAAGTGAGCTACAGAATCACAAGATAGGCAAAGTAGAGGGGAAGGGCACTTTTTGGAGGTATTAACAATTATTCACTATCCCTGTATGACTACAACAGAAATACGGTTTCCAGGAGTCCTGGAAAAGGAAAGAGCATGAAGAAATCAGAGGCTTAAGAAGCCTAGGTTCAGCCTTTCTTCAGTGTGCTCTGCCACATTTTTTCGCTTGACTTGCTTTCTGTGACACTTGCCATCACTAGGCCTAGCACAGACTGGCTGTAAACAGGATTCCAGGTAATGGGGCAGGCACGCCTCCTTGTTCATGGCACTGCCAAGAGACAGTGCTGAGGTAGGTCTTAGAGGTACGCCAAGGCTGCCTCCTACAGAAGATGGAGGACTGGCACTGTTGACAGAAGAGTAGCCTGAGCTTCCATCCAGGTGAGGATTTCTTGGGGTGAGAGATGCTGAAGGGCTGTGAGTGTCATCCAGCAGCTTAGCCTCCCTCAGTGGTGCCGTGGGCCCAGCCCACGCTGCAGCTAGGCTGTCTTCATCGCTGGAGTCCTGACAGCAGTGCTCCGCAGGGTCCATGTAGACCACTGCCATGTCCAGGATCCCACTAGGAGCTGTCACTGTGGGATGATAAAAGAAAAAGGTTTTGATTTGGGCAACACCAAGCAGGCATTCAGCACAGAATCAAGCAGAAAAAAAAAAACCAAGCATGAGCATAAACCTTGTCTGCTTACACATGGAGAATAGTGCACTAAGTTCACCCTTACTTAAATAGTAACTTTGGCCCCCCTCAGATGGTTTGGATAGGTACTAAGAGGTGTTTAGAAAATGAACAGCCAGTCCCAGAGTCAGCAAAACAGAGAATACAGCGTTTCTAACACAGTGGGCCATTCATCACATTTGGTCCACCATCAGCAGTATCTGAACACAGTCTCACTTTGAAGTGCTAAGCGGCTACAAAACCCTTCATCATGTTCAGAAGCATTATAAGGAGAACAGATATATACACACCTCTAAAATAGTTTAACAATTAGAACCACTGGGGAAGGGGGAGAGGTTTTTTTTTTTTCCAACTGTTTTTCAGCTGAAAGTTCTTCTGTTGCCTGAGAAACAGTTTTAAGCAAAGAGGAAGAGACAGTTTTAATTCTCTTGTCTTTTATAAGGAGAATAAAACCCTCACCATCTCCATCTCTCTCTCCTTCGCTTTCCTGATCACCTTCATAACCAGAGCAGGAATCTAAACTCCAGTCTAGGAAGGTATCTAGAAGACTTTCTTCCTGGGTGGACAGCTCTGCTGTGGGTGTAGTCACAAAGCTCCCTCTGTCGTCCTGAATGCTGTCTTCTCTCCGCCTGTAGCGAGAAAATCCAGAAGTCGCATGTTAAAAGCCAAGTCTTCTTTTCTGGCTCATTTAAGAGGTATGTCAAGGTAATTACAGAAAAATTGATCATATTTAAGAGTGAAACCTCAGAAGACCAGAGAGGAGGAAAGGTTCATGCTAATTTTCAGAGATATTTACAGTACTGAGTTATACTAGCCTTTTAGATCTGTTTCCAGAGGGAGAGCTAAGGAAAGTCTGAATTTCCACCACATTCGTGTGCAAGGGAGTGGGCTTCGGGTCCTCCTGTTTCACACCCAACAATGAACAGAGCTCGCTGTAACTCATAATCTTAAAAAAGTAAAAAAAAAAAAATAATCAAAGAGCCATTAAGAATTAGACCGTGAGCTTCCCAGAAGGTATAAATAGCCAGAAGGAGGCTATCTATTGTCTAGGAAAAATCTATTCCAGGGAGTTCTTCCCACATGTATTCAAACAAAGCAGTTACAGTCCCTGCAGATCAAGTTTAAAACTACCACTTTATTTAGATATTCTCTCCTCCAAAAGTCTAAAGTTAGAACCCACTTCCCATTATTTGAAGTTTACTACATCCTGCCATATGGTAACTTCACTCTGGGTGTCAGACATCAGCAAAGGAAGACAAAGAGCTCGCCTACCTTTTCTTTGCCTATTTCTTCATAACGCTCATCTTCAAATCGTTGTTTTACTGCAGTTAAGGACACCTGCCTATAATCCTTTGGGACATTATTATGGAAACTGGAAAGAAAGATGAAATCCCCAATGTTAAAATATGTGAAACAATGTTAACAAAACCTGCCAATTTCAGTACTTTCCCTCTGTCCATCTCAGCTTTGTGCTAAGGAAGTTGGTGTTTCAGCAGAGCTGCTAAAAAGCTAGCCAGAACACTTGGTACATCTAATTCCTTTTCTGTCCCTTGAGGTAGACAACATATCTGCCTTGAACTCTAAAAAAAATGAGCTACTTTTGCTACTGGAACGCCTTCTGAAGCTCGCCAATAATCCAGTTTCACTTCTGAAAATAGTGCTGTCTGGCAAACTGAAACCTGTAGAGCCTTGAGGAGCATCACACTTTCTGTAACCTGGGGCCACTACCAGTTGGGAGAAATGGAAGAGCTGTCCCTGAACCGGCCCCTAGGCCTTACTGCCTGATGGCAGGGGGAGCAAGGCAATTTCCCAAAGCCACCTCCTTCACCGAGAAGGGCTGACTCTGTAGATACAGCATGTTTGCAAGAGCAGTAATACTCATTGTACTCATGTGCCCTCCCAAAAGAGTTCCAGAACTTACCACCTTTGGTGGAGGCTTAGTGCACAGGGCAACAGTTCTTCAAGAGAGAAACCAGTGCACTCGGACAGCTGGCTGGTCCAAGAGTGTGCTGGAGAAGAGAATACATATTACTATTTCACAGAGCTGGGTAGTTCTGTAATCAGACTTTGGTTTTTTATGGGATAAAGATTATGATCTTTACAAGCTTACACCTGCACGTAGTTTGTTCAAGTTCACAATTAGCTTCAAGGATAGGTTTGCCTGCCAAACTGAAGTTATACCTAAGTATAGAAATGCTTCAATCTCATTTAAACACAAAGTTTGCATAGTCTGGGGCTAATACTCTTGTTCATCATAGCTATTAAGAAGTAAAATAGACTGAACTCAACTCCTCATTCTAAAGTCTTATATCTGTCCCCCTCTTTTCCCCCGACCCCAGCCAAGCAATTGGGACATTTTGCCTAAAGACAAAGTAACACCAAAAAAAACCCCAAAGGCTCCCTAAAAAGACAAGGCAAACTGACATACCATGCTGCAGCTCTGCTTAAGGTAAGGTTCCTTACCTTGCCTGTGTAGTATCTTAGCCAGCAGCAGTGCTGCAGCAGCCAGCTGAGCTGGGGAATACACACAAAGGCTTGTGTTTAGGAGTGACAGTTCACAAATAAAGCTGTAAAGGTGAAGAGTTCTTCTCTCCAGCGAGATTATGTTTGACAATACTTCTTTGTAGTCCACAATGGTAGGTATCTAGTGCGGAAAGGAGAACAGAGGTTGGAAATACAAGACAAGCACCAAGTATTGAGAACAGCTGTTTCCAGGAGATGCTGTTTTCACTACATTAGGTTTTTTGATAACTACTGCACTGACATTGAAACTATCTCCAGTGAAAGAATAAGTGGCCTCTTAAAACTTAAGTTTTTATCTCTACAGAAAGGCAGAGGGTTCTGTATCTGCATGCTGCTAAATATGCATGGTCTCCACAGCTGGTTGAGAACACTCACATAAAACCCCAACATCCTAGATAAGGAGAAGTGCTAATTACAACAGCCTGACTTCAATCACAGCCCAAGGGGTGAAATATTCCATCCACTTTCCAAACTCACCCTTATCTTTCCTTCTAGGGCAGAAATGATCTCGCCCATCATTCTGACCAAGTCTTCATATTTGTATGTGTTGTCTGTTAGCCACACAGCTTCCCGTATCGTCAAGATCTCTTTGCTGATGAAACTGCAATATTAAATAACATTAACAGTTAGCCCCAGAAGGGGAATTTGTGCACCTCTGCACTAATGTTTCTGTGGCAGATAAATGTACCCAAGATGACCAAAGAGTTAAACAACTTTATAAGGTACTTTCCCAGGTACAGGCCAGGAAAGAAAGAACAGCAGCTCTTCATTTCTTTCATCTTTAAGCTGGAACCACCTTCTAGAACGTTCCCAGTTCCTCATTTATGAAACCTCTCCTAGGTTAAGATGCAAGATGTTAAGGAAACTAACACAGAAGAATAATTTTCCACCACACCATGTGGGTCATCTGAGCATAACAGACTAAACTACGTAACACTACTGCTACAGTTTTTCCTTACAGGGTTACTCATGCCAATATGGTGTGAAAGACTTCAGTTGCTGATGGAATGCCTTTGGACAAATCCACCACTGTGGAGTTTTTCCATATGTAAAAACATGTTCAAGGAATAACATTGTGTGTCTCATTTGCAGAGACTGCGTTTGTACATGAACACAGCTCAAGCAACAGTCAATGTAGAGGGAAGCCAAAGATTCTTTCCAGTATTATTATAAGCAAGGAGGGGGGAAAAAGCCAGTCAGAACCCCTACCGTGTGCAAATGACCATGCAGGCTATTCCCAGAAGTTGGAGTTGGGCCCGAGCTACAGGTCTCAGCTTCAAATAACGATCTACGCATCCCACTGTCATGTGAAGGCATAGGCTAGAAAAGTCTTTCATGGTAGTCACTTCTACCAGCCAATCGACCAGGATGTACCTAGACAGAAGAGAGACACATAATCTGAACAGTTAGAAGCCATTCAAATCAGTGCTGAACACCCTCCCCATGCCTAGTTACCGAGTTCTTTCTCCAATCAAAAGTTGCAAGCCAAGAAATTTCACCACAAGAATTTTCAGAAAAATGACACATTGCACTGAGATAAGGATTTGCAAGCAGAGGCTTATTATTCTCTGAAGGGTCAACAGTTGTCTTAAGTTGTCTGTTGAATGGAATTAGAAGCTGTCCTATAACAGGCACTTGCACAAGGAAAGGGTAGGGCATATCCATTAGGAGGCTAAGGGCCCCCTAAGATAACTAGAGAGTAACTATAGCTCCAACGAGTCAAACAGTGCCTCCAGTTCTTCAAGAACTTGTTAATCTTGACAAATGCAAGAACTTACAGTCCTGAAAAAAAACCTCAGACACCTCATTTCAGCTTTTCGTCAGGGCTTGAAACAAGGGCTCTGATCCTTCCTCTGTGAAATGTCCTGTGTTTCTCCGATTGTACATAATGCATCACAGAAGAGTAAAGCAAAAAATTCCAGCTTCCTACAGACCTCATTCTAGATTTGTTTCCCTCTACAGATGCACAGGGAAATAGGCAATGATTTCTGCTATGTGGCCTGACTCCTGCATCTTTTTACCTCATTGTTTCATTCATTCCTTTCTGCACAGTGAAGATACTTTGCTTGTTGATAGGATGGGAAGCTTGAAAGATTTGAGACACCATTTCACTGGAAGATTTTGCTTCTAATCCTGGTTGGTTTCCATTCCCACAAGCTTTGGCTAAAGCTATCTGTAGTAGAAAAAGACAAAAAGTAATTTGCATTTGGTAAAAAAAAAAAGGCAGCACAGGATGGTACTGTAATTTTACTGCTGAAAACTGAGAGCAAACATGACCAACTACTTGAATCAGTAGTTCTTAGTTTGGCTCAAATGTTGAACACACATTATTTGCGGGCAGGCTTTTAAGTCCATCAAAAGATACATCTTTACTCAGATTGTACCACAGACATGCAGTATTGTCTAAAAGAGGAGGACCCGCAGAGTAAACACACACATGCATATATAGATATTATTCAGCAATTTTGATCCTGCTTCTAAAGGGAGGAGTCTAAACCTACAATGGCAGCATAGAAAAGACCAAATAAAGACTGTTCTCCTGGGAAAAGTCAGTCTTACCTGTGCTTCCCAGCAGCCCTTTGCTGCGTAGTCTCGTAGCTTCCTGAGACTTTGGAGGTATCTGCCAGGATCTGACATCTACAAAGAATATAAACAGATTTCAAAACCCATTACCTTTACATAACAAACAGGATTGTAGTACTAAGATTGAGAGAAAAAACACTGCCTGCGGGTACATCTATTATTTCAGCAACCAGCCTGTTTCTCATTACAACAACATTGTTTTTAAGAAACTTTCTTCAGTTCTTGCCCAAGGTCTCACAGGAAATGAGACGGGTCACTCAGGCTTCCAACACGAGAGCTTTGGCAGATTTATTAACAACAACGCAGGCAGTCTCCCCACTCTTGTTCCCAAGTGAGCCACATGATCACTAGCCAGCAGTGCCTATACCTTTAGCAGAGTTAGTATAAAGGAACTTTCGCTTGCACCTCAACTACAACTGATTGTAGACTCACTTTAAACACCAAGGCAGACACCAAAGCTCATTTGAGAGAGTCCTTAGCGCTCTCCTCATTTATGAAGGTGGTAAGCTCTGAGGAACAGCAATTTCTTTCTGTGTATGTTTATTGCACGTAACAGAGGTCCAGAAGTTAGAGTGAAAAAGTTGTTTTGACACAAAAAAACCCAACTACTTACAGCAGCCTTTTTGTTATTTTCCCAAAGGAGGTAGGAGCTGTTTAAACAACCCTGCTTTGAAGATTCTTCAAACATTTCAAGGGATTCTTTTCTTTTTTCTTCATCCTAAGAAGAAAAGGCATGACGGTATTTTTGCTGTCCAGCCAACTGGATGCGAGATCTCAATACTGCAGAAGCTATAGAACAGCTCTGTACTGAAAGCAGTTGTGAGTCCCCTTCAGACTATGAGGGGTGCTCCCACATCTACTCAGTGCTGCTATTTGAAGATCCAGGCTCAGGAAGCAGTTAGTGGTTTTCCTCTGCTAGACAAAAGCTTTTTGGCTTGCTTGCCACTGAAGGATTTTATTTTTTTTTCATATGCATTATGACTGGAAGGCTTCCTTTGAGACCTGAACACACTGCAAGCCCATGATCAAGCCAAAATTAATTTCACTGTTTGTTGAATTCAATATCTTTTAAACAACCAGTAAATTAAAGTCATGATAACAGAAATTCCTAGGCCACTTGAGGAATATAAGAGCATTTGGCTGGTTTGGTGGGTTTTGTTGTTTTTGGGTTTTTTTTGTTGGTTTGTTTTTTGTTTTTTAAATCAAGGTAAACAGCATCAGCATCACCAAAAAAGTACCCAAACACATTAGAAATACTGCTCACCTCAAAGAGACTCAAGACCTTAGCCAAGCAGTGGAGAATAGATCCTTTTTGAGCCTGAAGAAAGTATTAAGATAAAGCATTGTTAAAGATAAACAAAGAACAATAGGAATTTTTGCTAGTAATTCCAGACTACAATTTTGTTTGCCTTTCAATCATTTCTCCCCCTTGCTTTCCTCAATGTTTTGTTATCTTTGAGACAGTACTGAATCTCTCAGAAGAGACAGTGCAGGCTTCCGGCACTCATGATATACCAAGTGTAGTTTGGCAATAAATTCATTGAAATGATTGATCCACAGTCATTTGAGCATCAAGAGCATAGGGACCTCCTTGGAGCAACAAAAATGTTTTTTCCAAAATAACTAGATGCAGCTACTAGCCTGTGTTAAAGTCATGGGCAGAAAGAAATCTTACTTTCTCAGACTGACACTCTGCTTTGAGACTCTCATAGACCACAGCTTTACAACAGCTTCCACTCAAGGACCAAGGAGGACGGATAAAGAGCCAGATAAATGGGGTTGTGCACACATTCAAACGCTCCGCCACACTGAAGAAATAAGATGCCTTTAATCCATTCACTTCTGCACGACCCTCATCGGAGATGGACACTGAACAAAAAAAAAAAAGCCAGAAATCACTTAGAGTTTATTCACAACGCATGCCTGGCATTTAGTCAGGCCAAGACAGACAATAGGATACAATCAGGAAAAAATTGAACAGTGTCTTCCCTTTAGAGCCTTAAAAATCATGGAGTTGACAAAAGAAGAAAAATCTTACTACAGTCAGTCTTTAGGAACATATAACCCTAAATGGGGGGGAGAAACGTTCTGCAAATACCAACACTCAAAGCAATGTTAATAATTATCAGTGTGCCAACAAATTAGTATGCAAGTCACCTGCCTTGCTGGTACCCTCTGCAAGGAGCCTCCTCCTGTCAATTTTCAGTCCCTTCTGTTACATTTGTCACACTATGTAAGTAGCCAAGCTTGATCAGAAGTTTACAAAGGATAGCTTCTAAACATGATTTCACAAGCTATGCATTGACTTCTTTTCTAAAAGAGCTGTGCACTATACTATCATTTGACATCTAGCAGTTTAGTGGCCAGTGCTTAAGCTGCACCGAAAGGTAAAACTGAAGAGGCATCGCAGTAAATGAGACCTACCCACCCACTGAAGACAACAAACTGGCTCTGCACCTCCCTGCTCTATAACTTGGGTGCAAAAGCATCACTGTTTGAGATACAGGAGCAATAGCTTTGTAACCAGCCAGTAAAAGTGCTAACTTTATAACGAGACAATTATAGATCTGTATCTATAAATAAGCCTTAAGCTCATCTACGTTTCTTTCTGTCATGCCATCTTCCCCAAAGACCCAAGTACAAGCTTCCACACTTACAGCCTTCATTGTAGAGGTATGCTATCCCCAGCTTCACAGCAGCTTCAAAGTTACCCCTTTCAGCAGCCCTGAATGGGAAATGGAGAAAATACTTGAGGTTGAAAATCAGTAGGTGCCTCCAGGCCCACACACTCAAACAAGTTACTTCAGTAGAGGCCAGGCTGTGAATTTGGTGACCACCAGCCATAAGCATACGTGCTTTTACTACAGAAGTGAAACGTAAGTTATGCTGAGGCTTTTCTTGCTGCAACCTTTTCATATGCCAACGTCCAGGATAATTTGACAATTCATAGGAACCGTTTCCCATACCCATGCAACATCCCCAACACCAGAACGCGTAACGTTTTGGTACTTGTACCCTCAAGGACATGCATCAAGCCCTTGTGCTTGTCCCTTCCAAACTGATGTGCACATGGTAGTCTTCTTCAGAAAGACTATAATACATGCATCAAAGCAATAGTCAGAAGCAAAACAATTATCAGGACATTTAAACTGATAGATCCCCTTCAAATCGGATGGATAAGAAGACCTTCTCCATCCTTTTTAAGCAGATTTATCATTACCGCTTTAAACTTCATTCATTTTACCTGAACTTTACTGAAATTTACCTATTTTTCAATATATTGGCTTGCACAAGAGACCAAGCCAACTCAGACTTGGAAATACGGTTATGCTCTTGAGCCTCTGATCTTGCTTCCACATTCATATGGAAGCATCAGTAACAGATTTTAGTTAATGTGCTATGTTCCAATACGGAATATTAATGCCCTTAAAGAGAAATAACTTGGGTATATGCAATGGGCCCTGCTCCAGTTACACAGACAGCAGTTATAAGCTGCAGCTTAGACATGAAATCAACAATTCTTCATCACCCTAAGCAAAGACTTCTACAAAAAGGGAAAGTCAGATTCCCCCCCCGCATCATAGTGAGGACTGATTAGAACTGTGTTTCTACCTTCAAATATCCTCTCCTACAATGTCAGACAAATTTGATTCTTAAAGCTTACTTTTCAAACATCCTCAGATTGTTTGGAGAAGGCCATATTTCTTGGAAACTTGCAGATGCCCAAACACTAGCATGATTATCCACAAGGTATTTAAGATGTGAGTGCACCTGCAAGGGGAAGCATAAAATAATAATTACTAAAATAAAGGGACCAATAGAAAAATAGTTCTTTGCAATCTGATTTTAGATAGCTAACTAATTCATCACAAGTTAATCACAACTCATTACCTGCCTAATCACCGTTAAGGCAAGAGATGCCAAATCAAACTAATTTGTTCAGCCACCATGATCTAACAGGACAATTCCCACAGAAAACGTACACAGAGCACTCATATAGTGCTGCTAGTCTTCTTAAGTTTGAGTAAAGAGAAATAAAACCACCACTGGGATAGCAAAAATCTAATTACTGCATGTATTCTTTGGTTTTCTTCAGGTTTACTTTGACACAAGAAGCCAGCCTTTTCCACATGTAGTCCTGGCTCCTAAAGGCAGACGTAAGCTATGGTGCATGACAGAGGGAAGCAGTAGCAGACTCACAGCTCTGACTGAGAGGATGTTGGAAGGCCTTTCAGAACATGAAACAGAACATCCTCAGGGAGAGTTAACAGCGTCAGGACACGAGGACGTTTTCTTATCCTTCGCTTTGAAGGGAAAGAAAAACACCTGGAACATCTACAGTGAACCACTGGAAAACAAAAACACGGGACACGTCAGTTAGTGATGGAACAGTACAAGGGAAAAAGGCACTACAGAGTATAGACATACATAAAGACGCGTTCACTTGAGTACCTATTTACTGCAGCGTAGGACACTTCTTCAAACATATTAATCCTAGAGAAATTTAGCATGTGTCACATAACACCATGAGACTAAGCCACAAAGTAGTAAGTGACTTGCTGAATTTAGTCAATTAAGCTAAGAGGCTCAGAAGGGATGGCTCACAGGCAAATCCTCTTCATCGAGTAGAATGCCTCCATGCCCTAACTCCATCATTTGGCTGTGTTTAGTTAAACTGCCACTACTACAACTTCATTTACCTCCCTCCCACCCCAGCCTTTCCTTCTCAATTGACTGCAGTGCTTGGAATGTGAGCAGAGAGACTAGGAAGTTAAGACCCACCAAACCAGCTCAAGCCAAAAGCCCATCTTCCTAAGCAGCCATTTGCTGCCATGGGTGCTCATGGAAGATCCCAAAGAACCAGGAAGCCCCTTTTTGAAGTTTCAGCACCTTGTAGTATTCATAGACTAAGGATCGCCTACATCTTCTGTTCCTCATTAAGACAGAGTTTACCATCACTGCATTTGCCAAGAGGAAAATGATCTAATAGATAAGTACACGAGTATTGCTCGCTGGTAGAGACTTGTACTGCACGATAGAAAGCCCCATCCCTCTTCCATCTCTTGGGGACAGTGCAGGGTTTGGGCTGCCACCAAGGGCCTGGCCCCTGCCCTCAGGAGCCCCAGCACCCACAGCAGTCTGACTAACAAGGGCAGAAATTCCAATCAGTGAAAGGTGCCAGGAGGAAAAAAAGCCCATTCCCCACCTCCAGTGCCCAAGTGTCAGCGCAGGATCAACCTCACAGAGCGGTGCTTGGGTAGGACCCGAATCAACCCCAGTTCACGCTGTACCTTTCAGAGCCCTGCCATGCAGCAGTGGAGATGCCAACACTGCTCATTTCCACATCAGCCTCTTACAGCTTGCAGGAAGCAGTCTGTACAAGCAAGAGCGGCCCATTTCTGAGCGAGAAAAAGGCTGAACATTTTCTTTGCAGACATGAGGGCTCAAAAAGTAGATTCTGAAGTGAAAGCTTAAGCCCCAGAAATTAAAGGGCCTTCATTTGTATTACAGAAGATCTCTTGGTTGTATTTTTCAAATCTGGTTTAAGCCTTACACAAAGAGATTATACTTGGGAAATTTATTTACTGACTTTCTTCTTTAAAAGTTTAATAAAAAGACACAGACTCCACTAAAGAGTCCAATACTGTGCAACATGCATGTGCTAGCATTGCTTACCCTATTTTCACTGGTTCATTTCTAGCTTGAAGATTTTTTGACTTAAAGGAAAACAGTAGAATCAAAGTAGTAGTATAATACATATACAAAACCACCCCATGTTATCTATGAAGTAAACCAAGTCAGAGCTATGTAGGCTCACTAGATTATAGGGTCAAAGGCGTAAGCTGAGAGAATGATGCAGCTTGCAAATTTTTTTACAGTGAAAGTAGAAGGTGGCTGAAAAGTCAAGGTGAGGATAGAGAATGTTAAGGATGCAAATATTTTTCTCCATGATTTTTTTTCCCCTTTCTCCTGCTCTTCTGCTTTAGATGTTTAACATCTCCTGGTTATAACCTAACATATGGAAAACCTCATGATCTTACAGCAATCTTCAGTTCTTCACACACAACCTCAGTGAGAGACTGGTGAAGCAACATGTTGAGAAGGTAAGAGCAACAGCTCTTACCAGCTGCAGATCCAGTGAATGGAAAAAACCCATATGGACTGGCCAGTTACAGCCTCATCTCTCTCTAAGCATGTCGGCCCACAGAACGGGGAATTGTCCAGACTTATGGACTGCATAGCCAATGCCAAGTTTACAGACAGTTTGCTCAAAGTTGCTGCATCAGACTCAATGACTTAACATAATTTTTTTAATTTGCAAAGGGAAAGTTATCTGAGTTTCCAGCAGGATCCTTAAGAGGAGCCTGCAGATTCCTAAGGGGTCCATAAACCATGGCTACCACTGCCCCAATACACGTTTTTCTGCTCACATGTGCTCTTAATGCCCTTAGCACTACAGGTTTAATGAAATGAACCACCAACCTGATACAAAATAGCACCCAATGTCTCACTAGGCAGGTGTGCCTTCCTGTTACCTGTCTTTGATTGAAAAGCTATCCCCATGAAAATAAAAACTTTTTGACATGCACAGGGCAGAATACTGCTGTCCTTCTTATCCTCTTCCTCTCTCTGGAGAAAACTTCAGCGGTATTATTGCCATGAAAAAGAAATGGACTTCTACACTGCTATGCCAGTTAAACCTGTATGAACATCTGAATGACTGGGGAGCATGGGGTACTCGGGCAACTTGGGGAAGAGGAAGATTCAATTTCAAAAGACAGGAAGTCGCACAGGGAAATCTTCAATTTGTTGCTTCACAAAATCAGGGTGGCTTAGGCTGGAAGAGACCTCCGGCGATCGTCCAGTCCAACTGACCCAAGCGGGGTCAGCTACAGCAGGTTGCACAGGACCACGTCCAGTCCGGTTTGAAGGTCTCTGAGGATGGAGACTCCACAACTGCTCTGGGCAACCTGTGCCACCATTCAGTCACCCTTAATAGTAAAACCCGCTTTTTCTTATGTTTGAACGGGGTTTCCCGCATATCAATTTGCTCCCAACAAATTCAAAGACGTCTTATATGTTACACCACACGCAATCCGCATTTCTTAACGCCTGGCTTCGAAGTCAGTAGCGCAGGAGAGCTCAGACACATCCGCCAACTATAGCTACGGATCCTCCAGCGAAAGAGGGAAAAGAGCGGCCTCAGGTGCGGCGCCGACAGCCCGCCGGGGCGGCGGGCAGCGCCCC